CATAATTACATTTGCCATTTTCCCACCTAAAGGTAAAATAAAAAAGCATGAATTGGTTTCTTAAAAGTTCAATTTCTTCACTTTTATAATACTCCTTATTTAACCACTCATTTTTATAGTGATGACATTCTAACTATACTTTGACTAAAACCTTTAACTTTTTCTGTCATCTCTTATGATATAAAAATAATGACAGTAATACTGGCAAAGACGTAGAAAATCTGATACATATACTGTGGGGACAATTATTCTAGAAAAGAATTTGGCACTTTCTTATCTAAATATGCAATTGTCATACAACCCAGGGAAATGAAGAATTCTATTCACAGAAAACCTGTGACAAATGTTCATAAAAGCTTTTTTAAAAAATTAATTTTACTGGTACATTTTACAGATACCTAATAACATTCGTCATATGAAATTTGCATCTTTATATATCTTTTTTTTTCAATCAGGGATTGAACTCAGGACCTTGAGCTTGCAAGGCAGGCAGCACAGCCACTGAGCTAAATCCCTGGCCCTCATCTGTAGATATCTTAATTCTTTATTCCCTTTTCCCTCCCCACCCTTCAACCCCTTTTCCCCTCATTTACAAAAGCTTTGTTTGGATTTCTTTTTATTCTTTGTTTCCTTTTCCCTTCCTTCCCACCCCCCTAGTTTCCCTTCCCATTTGAACATTTCTTCCTATTTCATAATATCTATTATATATATTAGTCCTTATTTGTTTTCAGTTTTTCACACCAGAGAAAACATGCGAGGTACATCCATTTACCTAGAACTGACTCAAGTTTATCCTTTATGGGAGAGTAGTACTCCACTGTATACTAAAAAAAAACCCCTTTGTCCATTCAACAGTTAATAGGCATTTGGGCTGTTTCCAAGATTTAGCTATTACAAACTATAAAAGCTTTATTTCTAATAGACAAGAACTCAAAACAATCCATATACTCTTCACTGACTGGTTAAACTGTTATATTAATATCATGGAATACTAGCCAGCAAAAAAAAAAAAAAGAGAATACAAACATCAACTTGGATGAATCTCAACAGAAATTATGCTGAATAAAATAAGTGAATCTCTAAAGGTTACAGAATGTAGAATTCCATTTACCTCATGTTCTTATGTAGTTTTCAGGGATAGGAGTGGGGTGTATCCTAAGAAATAAGAAGAAAGGTTAAGTGTTCTGAGGGTAACCTTGCTGGGCATGGTGGCATGTGCTTGTAGTTTCAGTACTCTGGAAGTTGAGGCTGGAGGGTGCCAAGTTTGAGCCCAGGCCTACAACTCAGTGACTTAGCCAGACACTGCCTCTAAACGGAAAAGAAAGAAAGAAAAAAAGAAAGAAAGAAAGAGAAAGGAAAGAAAGAGACAAAGAAAGAAAGAGAGAGAGAGGGAGAGACAGACAGACAGACAGGCAGGCCGTACATGAAAATTACAAAATCTCAAATATAAAAGTTTAAAAGAGTTGTACTGTAAATTACAACGTTTTTTTTTTGGTACTGGGGATCAAATGAGGGTGCTGGAACTACTGAGCTAAATCCCCGGCCCACAAAGTTTTAACATTAAAGTTTCAGAGAAGATATCTTATCCCATTATCAAATAACTTTTTATTAAAATCTATCATTTAAACTATATAAATCATTTATTTATGGTAATGTTGAGACATTAGTTGTATCAACCATCAATGCAAAGATTTATATCAGTTCATATAGCCACACAGTAAAGCTGTTATAGATTCATGTGTTTTTTCCCCCCAAAATTCACATGCATTTTTATTTTAAATGCCCATCAGATTAAGATTGGTCTTTGCCCCATTAATTTTAAATCCATTAGGTTCAATATGTTAAAAGGTATTAGAATAAAATAAATTTAACTCTTTTCATGTATTTAACTCAATTTCTAATTTTCCAGATATATTTAATCACTTTTTCTTTTTGGCGTTTTTCCTGTTTTATATACACACACAAGTCCTTGCAACTTTTTTTTTTTTTTTCCTTGGTACCAGGAATCAAATTCGGGCCCTTGTGGTTGCAAGACAGGCAGCGGAACCACTGAGATAAATACCCGGCAAAGGCTGTTTTTGGGGGGGGGGCGGGTACCAGGGATCAAACTCTGGTCCTTGGGGTTGCAAGACAGGCAGTGGAACCACTGAGCTAAATCCCCAGCCGGCAACTTTTATTTTTTTACCGTGTGCTCCCTCACTGACCTATATATCCCAGCCCAAACCCATTACTCTGCACTATAGTGTACTGTATCTTCCTGTAGTTTAAGATACCTACTGTCTACCTAGATTAATATCCATACTCCATTCTCATTGCTAAGATACGTGCAAGCAAATCAGTTCTCACAGTGCCAGAGACTGTATTTCAATGACCAAATAAAGACACAACCAATATCCCAGATATGCAGTTCTCTTGTGCCAAAGCTTCTCAATCACTCATATCTCACATAACAGAAAATAAAATAGCAAAAATATAAATTTAAAATACTTTAAACTAATACCAAGAAAAAGACTAAGAGGGTCAGACCCAGGGACATCCACAGAGCAGATATACCGTATATGCAGGCTGTACTTCCTACTAGTAGCCTTTTGTAAGCTCATTACTAAGGACCCACTCATTTTTCTAAACTGGTTTCTACAGGGAAATTTACCCAGTATTTGTTTGCATTTAAAATATCACATGGCCAGAAGATAAAATTTCTATAACATAACCTATTAAACCAGTTATATCTTCTAAATCACTCAGTAGTTTACTTTAAAAAGCACTACAAAACCCAATAATGAGTACTTACAGAAAAAGAACAGCTTCCATTTTTTTAAGCTAGATCATCTCCTAGTTTTCCTAATATGTTTTGGTACCAGGGATCGAACTCGGGTCCTTGCGCTTGTGAGGCAGGCAGTGGAACCACTGAGCTAAATCCCCAGCCCAGTTTTCCTAATATTAATACCCAATTTCAGGATATATTCAATATATTTAGGCTACAACTAATATTCCCTGGCCTATTACAGAAACTACTCTCCACTAAAGACATACTTGTTCAATCTGATAACCACAAGTAATTATGTCCATTAACCATTTATGTGGTTGCTTGGATCAACTCAATATTAAGCTTATGTATTTCTTATATGTATATGTAATTATGTAAAGCAATACAGATCTTATAAAACTTGATGTGACTAACAAATAGGAATGCATGTGTCTGCCAGGAAAAACAAAAGACGTCAAAAAAGACAGAAAAAATGGGAGGTTTGGAGTTGAGAAATAACCTAGGTTAACATATTTGCTTTCGAATGGATCTAAAATTTTTTTTAACTTGTTCAGTCATTTAATTTGGCTTTTCACAGTACTGTGCAAAATTTCAATAACTACAATGGAAGGAAAAGCCCATTAAATGAAGCCAGTTGTTTAAATCACGTTTCTTCCTCAAAACAAGCTGTTGAGGGTTTAGGCACTGATCTCTCTGGGTCTCAATTTCCCATTTTTAAAATCAAAGTGTAAAAAAGCTGATCTTGAGGCCCCATTCCAACACCAATACTGTATGGAAAAGAACAGCTTTTGTTAAAACCACGTGGGGAAACGTACTAATAAAAATTAAAAATAAAAACAAAAAAGAAAGAAAACAATAATGGGGTCATCACAAGATCCCAGTCAAGAACACTTAGCTCTTGGCAGGGAACATCTCTCAATCAAGCCCACTTTCATTACTTGCATACTCATTTAAGTATATTTACTTAAATTGTATACTTTTATTTATGGTTTGTGTGATAGAATAATGCCTTAGGACACAAGTGAATTTAGCAGAGTTGCCAGTGTTAAGGTAAATGGCCTCTAGTTAGTAGGTACAGCCACCACCTCAAACACTCTGACAGTAAAAGCTGTGATTAAATTCATTTACATTATATTTTCCCTTTGTGAAATAATTACTTAGCAGAACAGAGTGGTTATGCACACAAACTCTGAAGCCAGGCTGGTGGATTTGAATCCTAGCTCCAACATCTATTATCTAAGTGATATTGGACAGGTAATTAACTAATTGAGATCTCAATTTCCTCATCTGCAAACTGGGAATACTACTAAAATCTACTTAATTGGTTAAGAGGTTTAAACACTTAAATGCAAGGCATTTAGAAAAGTGCCTGGCACAGGGTAAACACTTAACAAGTTTTTGTTAAATATGTAAAATAAATATAACCCGCCTCACTTGCTGGTAGCAGTTTCTGCTGGCAGAAATAGACCACCAAAGAATGAAATTACTCACATTCTAAAATGCAGGATTTTACTTTTCTACCTAAAGATACTTTTATCCACAAAAAAGTATTTTTATAGCTAGGTAAAGAAAAAGAATATGAACAATGAACAACTGTGTATCACTTAGAAAGACAGAAATATTTTACTACTAATACTGAATTTCCAATGTGGAATGCTTCTTCTTACCACCATCTTGCTTATGAACTTAGAAGTCCTTTCCAAGGTTTAATATGTGAACAAGAATATGTATTTGTAATATAATATATCTGTAAAGAATACAAACAAAACACCACATTTTATAGAAACTAGGTCACTATTTTCGAACAGCTCGGCAATTTCTAAAACTGTTCTCCAACTGAGAAAAAAAAAATGTTCAAAATTGTCAGAACCTGGGGGCACATAAAGATCTTTCAGAGGGGACATGACCTGGCCTGTCAGTGATTTCTAGAACCTGGTGTGCCAGCTCAGCTCTGGCCACAACACAGACTAAGATATGTGAGAGCAAAACAATTCTTGCAGTGCCAGAGTCTGTCTTCTAATATGACCAAATAAAGACACAACCAACCTCCCAGATATGCTCTTCCATTGTGCCAAAGCTCTCAATCACTCTTCCAAATGGCCACATCTAAGCTATTATAATTTACTTGGACCTTAGTGCAAGAATTTCTAAATGTTCTAAATATAATAGAAGAAAAAAAACCTCATCAGAAATTTAAGACAGTATACAGAGACATCAAACTACAATATACTCATGATTTTTAAGTCTTTTTAATTGGTTAACACCACATACAATACTTTGCTAAATGAAACTGGTTCAAAGGTATGGAAACACAGTATATGAAAACATCCTTACACCTCAACCCTCGACATGTCCAACCGGAAGCAGTGCTAGGCGAAATGACACACAAACCTCAGATGACCCTTTAAGGGATAGCACAAGAGCACTTTTTGTCCAAATGACTGATTATGTGCTTGAGACCATACTGTTCATCAGGCAGTTTCAAGTTTATTTGCAATGCAATCTCTGATGACACAAACCAGTGACGTTAAAAAAGCAGAGAAATATCAGGTAAACATACAAAGATATACATCTGGTTTTAGAAATGCATTAAAAGGCTGGGGATTTAGCTCAGTGGTTCCGCCGGCTGCCTCACAAGTGCAAGGTCCTGAGTTTGATCCCTGGTACCAAAAAAAAAAAAAGAAATGCATTAAAAAACAAACAAAATCATTGCTTTCTAACCTCACAATCAGCACTGCTAGCATGCATAGGTTTCTTCCAACTCCATCTCAAAACTCCCAAGTCCCTGCCTTTCAAATGTTCCATACATTACTTCCTTGGGCTCTACTAGGTCAATCCTGAACACCACACCTTGCTCATTTTGGAATAAAAGCCTTCTATTTTCAATAGTTGATTTTAATCCCAAGAACCCTCTTGTATTCTTGAAGCCCAAACTGAACCCTCCTTCTCCAAAGAAACAGCTTCCCCACTATTAAATTCTTCCTTTCCTTCCCTCTCCTCTGAATTTCACTGCACTGTTTTTATAAGTCAGAACTTACTGTTCTTTGATTCACAGGCTTTAGTTAAGTCTATTCCAATTAATTATAAATTCCTTGGGAGCAGGCATGGCATCTTATTTACCTACCATTGTAATTTTTTATTAGGGATCTAGCTTTAGGGATCTAAGTTTCCATTACGCCGCGGACATTTTACAGATGACACACTTCTTGGAGACAACTGTAATTGGATAGTATTTACATTATTTCACAGAAACAAGTCAAGATTTTACTGTAAGGAGAAAAGGCTCCCTTTCTTTCTATCTAACAAAAACAAGAAGAAATTTGAACTCATGAATGAAATGATTACAGAAATGTGAGAATCCAAATTAGGTAACACTATCTAATTTAATCATGGGTTTATACAGAAACAGATGCAGTGATATTTAAGAGAGTAGTACTCTAAAATTTGTTAATCCATCTTTTGCTCATAATCCTCAAAACACAGGGATTATTCTCACCTTAAATGAGAGACCAACACATTTGTTTCTTTCCAAAAGCCAGGTTCCTTTTACACAGTTAAGAAAGAATGGTATATGAACTGTTTAATTACACAGAAAAGGAAGGAGGATTCACTTTTCTAAATAACAACAACTACAATAATTTATATTGGTGGTTAAAACACACTCATGAGTTAAATGTGAAGGAGTTATATATGAAGAAAAGGAGAAAAGATGGCAAATCACTATTACAACCTCTCCTTATATCCCCTACACACACAGACACCCAACCTCAGGTATACCATGTTTCCTTATTTCTCTATGTTTGATCTTATTTTCTCTACATACAGAATTGACATTTGCTATTTGTCATTTCATGACATACTCAAAGGAGCATAAAAATATGAAATAACTTATTAATCAATTATTTTTTTAAGTCCTGGACAAGCAATACAATACAATGTTTAGTTACCCACATTTCCAATCTTTAATAGTCAACTAAAAATCTTGAGTTTCCTTATGGCTCTTGGGGCAATATATGTTGAAAAAAATAAAAGATATGACATGATGTCTCAAAAAATTACAATCAGAAAAGTATTAATCAGCCAGTATCTCTTACACATGCCTGATGGCAATAGTGTCCAAGATGTTTTGTTAAAAAGTAGATTAGTGGTAGGCCCGGGCATTTAGCTCAGTGGTTTCTCTGTCTGCTGCCCAAATGCAAGGACCAGAGTTCGATCCCCGGTACCAAAAGAAAAAAAAAAAAAAGTAGATTAGTGGGGTATTCCCCAGAAATTGTGTTGTGATTCAGTGGATCTAAGGATGAGGTTCAGTAATCTAAATTTTTAACTAGCAGTATAGATGATTTTCAATTACCAAATGCTGAGAAGGGGTTTTTTAAAAAGTATGTTACAAAAAAAAAAGTATGTAAATAGGGCCGGGGATTTAGCTCAATGGTGCTGTGCTGCCTGCCTCGCAAGCACAAGGTCTTGAGTTCGATCCCCCTCCCAAAAGTATATAAACAACATTCATTTATACCTACTCCCACAGGAATGAGGTTGTGGTCCTTGGAAGCTCCTACTGCCAAGTATCATTAGCCCCTTAGGCAGACATTGTTTGATCTTGGACCAGAGGCCTTTGTGTCAGGCCAAGGGTACATCTCACATAGGCAGAGAATTAGATCCTTTCATATGAGAAACAGATTTGTAATCTAATTTTATGAGGAACTTCTGCCTATATTTAGGGAGAAATCACTAAATATGTGCTTAAACTAGGGGTTCTTTGAACTTTCATTATTATTCTTTACTAAAAATAAAAGTAATAAGAAAATAATTGAGATATTTCTGCAATGTTTATGTTTGTGTTTTGTTTGGAAAAGCAGAATATCTGATAGTATATCCATAACTCCACAGACAATGATTAGTTAATGAGAGCTTATTACTTGTAAGGAGCTGTAAAGCAGTCTGGTCAAAGCTAATGCTCCAAATTTGAGTGTACCTATTATCATAATAGGGTTTTATTAACTAGAATTACATTATGATTCAGTAGATCTACTGGGGCCTGAGATTTTACATTTCTAACTACCATCTAGGTCCAGAGACCATGCTAGCAATATTCTGCATGAACAGTTACTCAAAATTTTATGTGCATAAAGATCACAGGGAAAATATAATGGTTATTCAAAATGAAAATTCTTGATCTCCATTTCTGATTAAGCTAGGCTGGGTCCCTAGAGTCTGCATATTTTAACAAGGACACTAAATGATACTATTCTGTGTGTTCCACGTAACATACACATAGAAATAGTTCTAGGAGTCACAAAGTTTATTAATATAATTTAATAATCTTTTTCTTAGGAACTTACAGGAAAGAAGATGTCTACATAGTACTTCAAAACAGAATGAGATATCTGTTAAGAGCAGTAACTTATAATCTGCTCTTAAAGATAGGAGATAGGCACTTTAGGAAAGGAAACTGAGGAAAAAATCTGAAGTTTTGCATAGCAAACAATATTGAATATGAAAAGATTATTTTACACAACACAAAAATATCTCAAATAATATCAACAAGAAGATAGGAGATGGCCTCCCACCTTCTCTAATGTATAATATAATGCTTTTATGATAAAGTTGGCTGTCCTAGTATATGCCCTGCAGTAGAAAACACTACAAAGAACTCCAGTTGGAAGAAACTTGGGCCACAAGGATAATCACCATAAAGGTCAAAGATAATAGACTTACAGGAACTATGGACCAAAAGAAATGAGAGAAAGATCACCCTTACACATTAACAGCATTTTAAAATTCTTACAGGGGTGAGACAGGGAGAGCTAATATAGTTGAAATCATCATGTGCATCTAATGTCTGGACCAAATGACAGCAACAATGAACACCACCTCCCACCTAGTGACTCGCTACTTTTCCTCATCACATTTAATGTATTTGGTTTATCACAGCTTGGATGCTTTCTCTGTAAATGGTAGTAACTGGTAGAATCATCTCTGCACATCAAACATGAATTATTCCTTCCAGCTCTTCCATAGCCTTGGCATTATGGATCCTGGCTTCTGGTCGCTTTTGAGTTCTACGGAATGCTCATATTTGTCATGATAAGTACGCAGCAATAATCACTGTGATCACTGCACCTTCCTCTTAAAAGTTCAACTTACAGTGAACTAAGTGTAATACAATCTTCACTGATCTCTTAGCAACACAAATGCAGCCTTGTTGAGGCATGTGAAAAAGGAGGAAAGTGAAGAGATATGGAAGAAAAGCATCTAACAGGGAATGGTTGAGTCCTATATTCTCATACTAATGACCTTTGACTGTGCCCTCCCGAAAAACTGCTATTTTTGGATGTAACATTTTTCTAAAGATACTTGAAATAATACTGTGACTACATAACAAAACAAACACAAAACCACCCATTATATGGTGGTTGCAGGTAAATGACAATTCCTGGAATAACATTATTAAGTGTTCTCCATTCTCTAGAAGACAGGATAAATTGTACAATTAGCAATTTGATCTTTAAAAACAAATGAGCTATCTCCATAAATAAAATCTGCCTCCTGGGCTGGGAATTTAGCTCAGTGGTTCCGCCCCCTGCCTCGCAAGCACAAGGTCCTGAGTTCAATCTCCGGTACCAAAAAATAAAATAAAATAAAATGTGCCTCCAAAGCTTGTACAAGTATCTCTAATTTCTCACTTGTACTCCATTCTTAGCAGTATATCCATTACTACAAGCCTGTTTCCTGCTGGGAAACATCAGTAAGATGGCAGTTTTCCCTAAGAAAGACACTAGCCCCATTCACACTTTTAGAGCCTGAAATAATGTGAAGTATTTCCAAAGAGAAAATTGTTTGAAAGGGGGAATGATAATGATCTGTATCTATCAAAATCTCAACTCAGTTCCTGTGCAAAACATTCTGGCTTTGCTTGACAGACAACCTTCACATGACCTATATCAAAACACACACTAAATAATGAAAGACATCTCAGTCTTGCCTAATCAGCAAATCCCCAGGAGTACAAACCTCGGGTCAACGGCTGAATTCCTGATATACATCATTTTATATGTGAAGTTTTAAAAAAATTTTTTTTCTGTATATCCTTTTATTGGTACATTTTAGGTAGACAATATAATGACATTCATCATTGGAAATTTGCACCTTTACATACTCTCTTGGTTCTTATTTTTTCCCCCTTCCTCTGCCCTCCCTGCAACCCCTCCTTCCCTCCCTATTTACAAAGACTTGGTTTCCTTTTTTTCATTTTCTCATATTAATTCCATTCCCTTCTTTCCTTTCCCCTACCCCTCCCACTTCCCCTTCCTCTTTGACCCTTTTCTTCCTATTTCACATTATCTATTATACATTTAGTCCTTATTTACACTTTCAGTTTCTCACACTAGAGAAACTATTCGGTATTTACACATGTGTCCTATTTATTTCACTTAGGAGTATAGCCTCAGTGTGCATCCACTTAGCTACAAATGTCTCCAGTTTCTCATTTTTTATGGCTTAGTACTCCATTTTATTAAAAAACCACATTTTCTTTATCCAGTCTCTAGTTGATGGGCATTTGGGCTGTTTCCAAGTTTTAGCTATTACCAATTGGGCCGCTATGAACATGGGTGCACATATATCTCTGTGGTATGATTTTTTTAATTCTTTGGGGAAGATA